CTTCCGATACTCTGGCATATCTGATAATCCAGCACCCTCTGGGTCCTAAAGGTGCCAGATTATCGGAAGTTTACTGTACTATAGAAGCCTAATCGTGGACCAAGGCCCCACTCTGCAGGGTGCTCTGGAAACACAAAACAAAAGTGCTTGCAATTGCTCTGGAATTTCTTGCAATTTCTTATTGTTCCATTTTTTGTTTTTAAATAATAATAGAGATATCTTGCTCTTATATAGCGCTCCTCATTTGCTGACTTCCAAGCACTTTACTGAGATCAAATCATTACCCTCATTTTACAGATGGGTAAACTGGGGCACACAGGTTACAGAAATTGCCCAAGGACACTCAACATGCCAGTGACAGTACTGGGAATAGAAATCTGGTCTCTTGAATCCCAGTACAGTTTTCTAATCACTTCACACTGCCTCCCTTCCGTATTTTGTTTTCCATCTTCTTTTACTTTCCCTCCCCCAGATACATGACATGTTCCCATTCTGTTTCTCATCAAATGTGCCCAACATCCCATGTCCGAGTCAAAATCCCATAGCTGAAGTGACTTGAAACTGACAGGGCCGTGCTTTTTCTTGTCAAGCTACTTCAAGCTATAATGCGACTCAGATCAGGTGCTGTTGTCAAGAACTGCTACTGAGGTTTTGATGCAATGTGCATTTGGAATGTTAAATTACTGTGGCTGCAGTCTCAGTTTGTGGAATCTTTTAACTCTAACCTGGAGTTCTAAAGCACCACTGCTGACTTAAGAACATGAACCTCTGTCTCAGGACCTTCAAAGCGGTTGAGGTGCTGAACCACTGAGCCTTTGTGATTTTGATTATATAGAACACGCTGCAAAAACTATTTTCTTCAAATTGGTGTGTGTTTAGTACTAATGCAGTAGAACCGGATTAATTAATACTACTGGCTAAAACTGAATTTTGTGAATTAGTGAAGAATTTAAAATCAAGAAAAGATAATGCACCGTGTTAACTGATCTCTTATTGTGTAAATAAATATTAGACATTTATTAATATGTGATGAATGTTCAAATAATAAAACTAATAAACCCTTAGTGATAAGAGACCTCACTTCAGCCTGTTAAATCACCAACAATATAGGGAGTGACTGCCAAGTATTTCTTGTCTGGATTTGGGAGCAGGAGAGAGAATTTTTGTTTCCTGTAAAAGGTGGATGTATATATTAAAAAACCTTCTTCCTTTTCTTAAACTTCTAGGATTGAATCCAATGACCTGCCTCTGTTGGCTGCTATTGCAAGCACGCATTCCCCAAATGTTGCTCAAATACTCTTATAAGTTGAAATCTCAGGATAGTCATTCCCTAAAAGCAAACTACAGGAGTCTTGAAGAATTCAAGTACCAAGCACTGGCAGAGGGGCACAGTGAGGGAAGCAGGTGATGACCGTGCTTTCCAACAGCTTTTGACTCTGACTTTCAGCTGGATGCTTTATTTGAAGACTTCAGTTTACATAATGTAAAAGACATTCAGGTGGTTTGTTGGGGTTTTTCATTTTGGTTTATTTTTTACACTCACATCTGAGTTAACGAATCATGAAGGTGAATTCATCTTTGTGGTCTTTTTAAATGACAAAAGTAAACACTACAGCGAACACTGAACTGTCAGCAGAAAACACTGCTAAAAACATCAAGTGGCAGTAAAAAGAACAGGTGGAATAAGATGGGCCTTCTAATACTGCACTTGGGATCGCATGGTGTTTTGTGTGCTTCTTTGGTTGTGTAACTGGAGTTGTAAACTATGTACATAGCATTCCAATACAGAGATGTTTGAATGGGTCATGAAGTTTTGCAGAACACAAACATCTTTTTGTATTGTAGTAGTGGCCAGCTGAAAACAAGCAACTTTTACTAAGCAGCTGAATTATGTGGCATGTGTGAGGTTGATATTGTGGGTTTTTTTAAAAGATGAAAGGAAGCTGCAGCTGCTTCTAGTTTTACTAATGAGGAAACCGTATGAGCTCTGATTATAATTTGTGCCACCCCAATATTAGGCTGAAGAAGGCTTTTTGAAAGAGGAGGATTTTTTTAGGAAGCTGTATGGAATTTCTACTTCACGTTTACATTGTTGCATTTGCAACATTAATAGATTTCTTTTTTTAAGTTTCTCTGACCTATAAAACTGGGAATTGGTCCTAAGTCTTAATGGAGTCGGATATTACCATCTTAGAGATTTGTTTGCCAAGCTAAAGTACAGTATGTGTTACTGAATGTTACTCTGTGTGTGTGTGTGTGTGTGTGTGTGTGTGTGTGTGTGTGTGTGTGTATGCGCGCATGCACACACATGCACAAATACCATCCAATTGCCATAAAGTTAAAAGTTTATTTTTTTTTTTTAAATTCACTAGTCAAATGTATTACTATTATTTGGAAACGACTCTTTAGTCACACTGGAAGGAGGTACTGTTTTTAAGTTAAACAGAGGATAAAGGCAAGCCTGGGCACCATGATTTATTAGTATGAACATTTGCAAACGTCCACTATGATTCAGCAGAACTTTTGCACTATCATCTCAGTGCCTTCTGATCTATTAAGGACTCACTTATTTGAGGAAGAGATCAAATAGTTCATCCCTCCAGTTTCTTATTGTTCCATACAATAAATTACAACTATCTAATATGCTCTGCTCACAGGCATAGTTAACTTTTTGCTATTTAAATGCCATGTGTACACACTAAGGTACAAAGTTACTTTTTTTCATCAAACACTATTGAGGATCATATTAAACTATTTAGGTCAAGAAAGGGCAAAGGGAAATAAGATTATTTTCAAATAAAGGAAGCAAGAAGCAGGGAACCCCCACCCAAGCAGCGTGTTAGACTATCAGACATTCTATGGCAGCCCAGAGGTGGGTAATATAGGTCACTTTTGGCTCTTAATATCAAGTTGTCTCAATACTCATTTAGAAATGATGAACTCTTCCTACTAGAACCATTCCTGCCTGCTAGGATTCATTAATTGGCTCACTGAATTATCCATGCTGGTGATTCCAGAATTCACAGTGTTGAAGGGACACATTTTAAGTACAGCTTTGCTTTAAAAAAACCTAATCACTAGGGTAATACAAAGAGAATCTTCAAGAAATAAAGTGAGAAAAGGTGAGTATTATGGTGTTTTCATTTTGTTCTAAATAGGACAGAAAATGGTCCTTAGCCTTGTTCATTTCTCTTTCTCATTCTGCGAGGAACATGTAGCTATACCATGAGAAATTTATGTGCGGAAGGTTTGTGTGTTCAAGTTTAAGTCCTCTTAATTTCCAAGTATGATTTCTAAACAGATAAGATTATTTAAGATCTGGGTTCTCCAATCTAATATTTCAGGTGCCTCCTTTTGCTTAGTACTTTGAGGATATGTTTACACAGTAATAAAACAACCATGGCAGGCCTGTATCAGCTAACATAGGCTGCAGTGTAGACTTCCATGCTTGAGACTGTGGGATATTTCCCCCTCACAGGGTCCCAGAGCCTGTGCTTTAGCCCGAGCCCAAATATCTACACAACAATTTCATAGCCATGCAGCCCAAGCCCCAAAAGCATCAGTCAGCTGATATAGGCCAGTCATAGTACTTGATAGCATGGTAGACACATTTCTATACAGTTTAGGCTTTTCGCCAATATCCTCTGTACAGGGGCTTCTGTAGTTCCAGAGGTTTGGGTTATCTCTTTTGCTGATCTATGCAGGCCTTCTGGTTTGCCCGGATTTGGGTTCCCTGAGCTGCATTAACCTCCATTTCATGATTTGCTTGAAACCAAATCATATAGAAAGTGCCCCTGTTGTCAAACTTCCTTTTTTCCAATTAGTGAGGGTATAGTTATGTGTAATGACTTCCTTAGTGAGTACACAAGAATTCTGTGTAATATGCATTTTCCTTACTTCATGTCCTGTAGGTTTTTCATGGTAATTTTGTTTGTCTAGTTCCTGTTTATATTCAACCAAAAATGGCTTGTCTTGCTTAGTACAAACTGACTCAAGCCCCAGTTTTACAGAGATGCCTGCAAGTGGACCACTGTATCCACGTGGAGAGCCATTGACAGCATGTCATCCTGAACATATGTTGCAGGATTAGTACCTTGATCAGAAACCCTTAATTTAATACTTAACCCCCTAACAAATGCTGCTGTGTTTGATAAGATTATAATTTAATTTAAGAATATGTATGGAATTGGTGATTCAGAAGCTTTTCCTCAGCTTAAAATCTTTACAGTGTAGTTACTATCTTTTATATAACTTTGCTGCTGTTTACAAATTACACTATGAGACTGCCCTGTTTTATAGTCTCAAATTTGATTTCTAAAATTAAGGTTTGTATACTTCTTAATTTTTTTAAAAAAAATGGTGTCTTTAGCCTAAAAAAAATTAAATATTTCTCCTTCCCACCAAACATACTACCTCAGTTGACAGGATACTATCTTTAGGGCTTCTTCAACTTTTTAAGTCTTACCCGTTGAACATTTTTGTAGCATCTTGCTGGTTGGGCACGTTAGTGTAGCATGATAGAGCAGTAAGTACGTACAAATGTTGTGTTAGACATCTTTATAGCATGTTTGTTTTATTTTTTAATAGAATGAAAAGTGATATGAATGTACAGGGGAAAATGTTTAAAACCGTGAAATAAAAATGTAGCTTAAATCTTCAAGATTCCAAAGCTTTTTTTTATTGTTATCGGTATTATAAATCTTTTGTAAACTTCTTACTACATATTTTTCTTGTTTTCAAGTGAGTGAATAATGTTTCAAAACCCTTCAGAAATGCAGTTTACACTTTACAACTTAAAGAATGTACACTCTTTAGATTATTACAAACTTTTACAAACCTGGGGGACAAATGCCAATACAGATGAAGCTGTAGGACTGCATCTAAAGCAGTTTTAAAAAGAACTAGACATTTTAATCTAGTTTATAGCTTACCAAATATTAATGAATATTAGTTAGTTATTTTGCTTTAAACGTACAAATATATACTTTAATTCTGTGTGTTTCATTGGAGGACAAAATTATAAATGTTTTGCTTATATATACTTTCACTTTGATAATGAGTCCCTTTAACAACACCAAACAGTTGTATGTAAAGGTGACACAACTTGGTCACTAAGTAACATTTCCTTTCCCCACTCTCCACTCTTGACTTAAAGGGACTCAAATCAGAATTGAGTCTAAACTGCCAATTATACACTATCCATTAGCTACTCCCATTAAATGGATCATAATGACATACCTATCCATACTAGAAGCAAATCTGATTATTACAATTGCATGTTTTATGACATTGCATTTTTGAGGATTGACTGAATGGGTATCAGTCTCAAACTGTGTGAATTTTTTTTTAAACTGCTGTTTATGTACCATGTTGTTTTGGTCTATTTCTTTTTAACATTTGGTGCAATAAATGATTTGAATTCGGTTTAAATTGTCTGGTATATTTGTTTTCCTTTTAAATCTCTTCCTGAAATGCTTTTCTGCTTCTGGTCGAAAAGGCTGATATTGAACACTGTGCAGCTGGGTACAGTTGGCTAGTACCATTAGCAGTTGAGCAGCGGAAAGATATGCCATTGTAATAGATCAGGGATGGGCAATCATTTTTTTTACTGGGAGCCACTTCAGAAATTTTTGAAGTAGCTCTGGGCTGCACCGGAAGGGGCGGGGCCAAAATGGATCATACACCTGCTTCGATTGGACTGGGGCTAGGTGAGCGCGTGAAGTCTTTGCTCCCCACCAGAGGTTCCCCCAGGCGACTTCGCGTGCTCCCCCTTCTTCCCTAGCCCAATCAGGGCTTTGGGGCAGCAGAGTGCGCAAATGCTTCTAAGTGCCGCACACTCCTGGCAGGGTGGAGGAAACTTTGTGTGCTTCCTCCCACTTCCAGACCCTGATTGGCCTGGGTGTAGGGGGGAAGCCCGTGGAGGCCCTTTTCTTCACCCCTGGTTTAGGCTTTAACCAGAGCACCATTTGGGCTAAGTTATGTGGTTACCTGCTGTTGAGTGAAAATGTCCACCTAAGTTTGGGATGAGTCCGTAAAATTGATCTTTACCTAATAAGGCTGAGAACTCTAGATAATGCATTTACTTTTTTATAATGTTATTTTAGGGCAAATTTCATGAATTGAATGAGGGGGTGAGAATGGGATGGAATATCAGCAGTTGGACAAGAAGCAGGAACATAAATTGTATGTCAGTACACATGCAACACCCAAGCAGAAGGATCAGAAAGTAGGCCAGGCTCTATACAGTTGTAAATACATTTAAAAAAACTTAGACTCTGTATGAGGTGGATAATGAGTAATAAAATTGATAGGGTATTCAAACCAAATTAAAGTACTCAAGGCTTGGGGATATAATTTTTCACTAACTTCAATTCCGCTATTTGACACCTGCCAAAAAAAATTCTGATTTGTTTAAAAAAATGTGGCCTGAAACAAAATTAACCTGATACTAGTGGCAGATACCTGGTTTGAGATTTATTTTCCATAAAATAAATGGCAACTGGAATTACAAAGCTGGTGGTGATGGGTTTTCTGGTTTTTTGTTCTTGTTTCGTTTTTTTACTGTAGTGGGCTACAGATGATAGATCTACCGTGGGCTTTATGCAATTACTAGAGGCACCCGACTTGCAATGCGATCAGTTCCTGGGGAAGTGTTGCAAGTCGGGGGCATCGTAACTTGAACCCTCATTTACGATAGGCACTATGCGCCATCATAAATGCGGTCCAAGGACGGAAGTCGGGGGTTTTTGGCCCCTTCCACACTTACAAAAATGGTTGTAAGTATGGGGGGTTGGAACTTGGGCGGCTGCAAGTCGGGGGCCTCCTATATACTAACTCTGGTGTGAAACAAAGAAAAATAGACTTTTTTTTTAAAAAAAAAAGCTTTTCCCTCAAGTACAGGCGATATGATAAAATATGGGTAGGATGAAGTCAGTTCAACCAGTGATGAATTAATATATTCTTGCTATTCTGTCTTCTGTATACATACAATTGAAGGAAAAGCAATGGAGTGAAACTAAAAATGCAAGACAAGCTTTTAGATGTGGGAAAAGACAGCTGGGTGGGTTAGTAAACAAAGCATAATACTTTGACCTATGATACTTCTGTTCCCACATAAAATTAGCTTAATTGCCACATGCTAGTAATCCACATCCTGGAAAACTACCCTTGTAATATGTCACAGTCAATCTTCTGTTTTGGCAGAATCCCAGGACTAAGACAGACTAAGAATTACAAGTAGTGAACTACATGTTGTCCAGAGATCCTTCAAGATCAAGACAGCACTAGAGAGTTAATGAGTGACTGTCTCAAACTTTACAAATAAATACAATGTTCTATAAACTAAATGTTGGAGTTACAATGATCCCATGGTGATCTAGAAAAGCCTTTGACGAGAGAGACCCATTGTTTTTTCTGTGAGAGAAGATGTTCCTGTACAGAGAGCAATCTGTTGCCCTATTACAGATGGAGTGAGAACTGTTTTCAGTTGAAGAATGGATTCATGAGTGTTTTGTTCCATGACATTTCCCCTACCACAGTGTTGAGGTGACTAGGGTATCCAACTTGAAGTACATGGAAAGAGAACTAGAGCTGGTATCTAATGAGCAACAAAGTGGGTCCTCATTCTGCATCTGAATTCCAACACTGCCTATAAACCATTTATTTTCAAATATGAACTGTTGGGCAGTTTTGTTTTTACTCCTGTACCTCTGCGGTCTAGATGCATGCATTCACACACACACTCACACTTTCTCTTTTTTTCTCTCGACCGTTACTCTTCTCTTGGTATTTGTTTACTCATCACAAACAAATCCATAATGTCTTGGTGACTTAGTGCTACAACTATTCCTAAGTTCCGATGATATTGTACACTTCTGGTGCTAAGACTCATGTTTTGAGATTTTGTGTGGGCATTAAAAACCTGTAAAAAGACTGTCCTGATTATGTTGATCACTTTAATTTCAAGTATGTTTATGTAACTAAACTTTCTTGGACAGGCTGAACCTCTCCAGTTCGGCACCTTCATGACCTGACTGGTGCCAAACTAGAGAATTTGTCAAATTACAGGAGGTAAATGTTGTGTAGCAGCATTACCAACACTTCCATTGTTTGTTGGCCTCTTAGAAGACATTTAAGGGGCAAATTAGACCGAAATAACAACACAGAACACTGAGAGCCAGGACTGGTGGCTGTAAACCAGTGGTCCCCAACGCGCTTCCCATGGGCACCATGGCGCCCGCTGGGCCATTTCTGTGTGCCCACCGAGTGATTGGGGCCAGCCCCGTCCCTGGGTGTGTGGCGCATGGGCGGTGCCGACCCCAGGGCACTCAGCTTATGGGCGGCCCTGTCCCCGGGTGCACGGCGCAAGGGCTGTGCCAATC